CCAGCAGGTCACCCCCACCCTGTCCTGGTGCAGGGGGTTATTCCTCCCCAGGTGCAGCACCCGACACTAACTCTTGTTATATGCACAGGTGTCTATAACCTTTCAGGATAAGAGTGGGTTAAGGTCCTGATGTTCTGTCTACTGCAGCTACTGAAGTCTTTTTCTGGCTCTGGGCACTGAGAAGGTTGGGCCGGGGCTTAAGGTTGTTTCTTAAGCAGCGTGGAAGCCCTGGCTGGTGGCATCTGGCAGCGCGTGGGGCAGGGAGAGGCAGCTCTGCCGGGGAACGGTGGGGACTGTGGGTGGCAGAGCCCCACGGCACAGCCTGCTCTCTGAAGTGCACGGTGGCTGCTAGAGGCTGCCTGAATTGTGGTAAGTCTTTCAGATGCCGCTTCTCCCCCCGCCAGCAGGTACCTGGCTTGCTGCTCTCCATCACCTTTGATTGCTTCACCCGGTAGATTGGAAAGCAGCCCTGAGGAAAGGGACTTGGGGGTGCTGGTGGACGAGAAGCTGGACATGAGCAGGCAGTGGGCAGCTGCAGCCCAGAAGGCCAATCGCATCCTGGGCTGCATCAAAAGAAACGTTGCCAGCAGGTCCAGAGAGGGGATTCTGCCACTTTACTCTGCTCTGGTGAGACCTCACCTGGAGTATTGTGTGCAGGTCTGGAGCCCTCAATATAAGAAGGACATGGACCTGATGGAGAGGGTCCAGAGGAGGGCCACAAGGATGATCAGGGGGATGGAGCACCTCTGCTACGAGGACAGGCTGAGGGAGCTGGGGTTGTTCAGCCTGGAGAAGAGGAGGCTCCGGGGAGACCTAATAGCAGCCTTCCAGTACCTGAAGGGAGCCTACAGGAAGGCTGGGGAGAGCCTGTTTACAAAGGCCTGCAGTGACAGGACGAGGGGCAATGGCTTCAAGCTGGAGGGGAACAGATTTAGACTGGAGATGAGGAGAGGGTTCTTCACTGTGAGGGTGGTGGAGCACTGGAACAGGTTGCCCAGGGAGGTGGTTGAGGCCCCTTCCCTGGAGATATTCAAGGAGAGGCTCGACGAGGCCCTGGGCAACCTGGTCTAGTTGGGGGTGTCCCTGCTGACTGCGGGGAGGTCGGACTAGATGGCCTTTGGAGGTCCCTTCCGGCCTGGGCAATTCTATGACTCTATGATTCTATGATAGATGAAAGAAGTGACTGTACCCAGCACCGACAGCGCAGCAAAGGAGTTATTCCTGGCTCCTGTACGCTCAGGGTTACTCCGAGCTCAGAAGAGCATGTGGCAGAGCCTTCAATCCTGGGAATACATAAAGATAAATAAAAATAAAACCTCGTTGCCAAGGGGGTTAGGAAGACTGCGGGAAACCTCCGAAGTCTGCGCTGTGTCTGGGTGGGAGAACACCCTCCTGCTGGAAAGGAGAGTGGACGCTGACACTGTAAACTTCTCCAAGTTTGATCTGGGCGCTCCAGGCTTATGCTTGTGTATAATCGTGGAAAGCTGCTTCGTGCTGAGCCAGCAGCTGGCTTCCGAATGGGATTTCACATCCAGTAACTGCAGGCAGCGGCCAGAGGGAGCAGGGCAGCCCCCACCGGGCACTTCTCCCACCCTCCAGGGAGCACCATGAAGCTGTTCCCATGAGCGAAGAGCAGGGCCCAAAGACTTTCCTCACTGGCTGAGTGACCGGTCCCCGTGACAGTCACCAGCTCCCTGTACAGTGAGTAACAGAGGCTATTGCTACAGGCAACACTGTGTGTTTTTTGGTAAATATTGATTTCTAACAAACCCTCCTGCCACTAGATCTATTCCAGGTAACCCAAGCAGAACTCATTTTGCCCAAGTCACTTCAGGCACATTGTGAAATCTCTTACACAGTCACTCTCTCCAATGAGTGCGCTGTACTCACAGTAAATAATATTAATCCTCCAGATAATTAAGAGTCCTCATACTTAGGCTATTTTCCTTCATGTAGCCAGCTTGCTTTCCTTTCCTT